GAAATTAGAAACAGTACATGAGGACAGGAGAAGAGTGGAAAGTTGCGTGGGGTCAAACAACTTCCGGAGCCAAGTTGAGTCAAACTAAAACTAAAGTCGAGCCCTGTAACGCCGGCAGCCCTGCTCTGCTACAGGGAACTTTTGAGAACCGCCCGAGTGTATTTGGCCTACTCTTCCAATGCTGACCAGGCATTGGAAGAGAGGTGGCAGGACGCACACCCTGACCGGACCGCACGACCTGCCGCTCGACTAAAAACTCCGGCCCACCCATTTAGAGTGCCGGGTGGACATGGGTCGCTGGTGGCGGAAGGGGGGGGGGATTTAAGAAACTTGGCCAAGATGTTAATTGCTGTGCCCTGTGTCGAGTGGCCAATGAAATGTATCTTGTCCACCCTTCTGCTGTCCACAACTCACATTAAACTCAGCCGCAATTTCAGCTTGTTATCCACAGACAAATTCCTCCTGTTATCCGAAGATATTTCCCAGATATACGTGGAGAAGTGTGGCTAATAACCTCCTGCGATGCACACTCGGGGTGGAGCAGCGGTAAGCGTGCTGCGCTACGAGTCGGATTCCCGGCTACGGCTAACATCAGTGGCAAGCGATATTTCAACCGATCCTGCCTCCCCAAGTCCCCCCCGGCCCCATTCCACACTGACCAGCGTGGTGAAGTATAGTCAAACAACCCCCGTGAACTAAATGACACAGGGAAACCTTCATCCAGCAGCGGATTGACAAACAGCTGTACATTATATTATTATCACTCCATATGATACGCACACTTATCCGTGGCTAATGCGAGGTGCCACCACCATCTCCTGTTATCCCCCGAGAGTGTTTGTGGATAAGAGGAGGGTTGCGAGGCAATTTCACCCCATTATTCACGGCTATCAGTCGGCTGAAAGGGATGGACATTTCCCACTCTCTGTGGCCCATTTCGCAGATAAGGGGAGTTTACCCGGAAGTTATTTTCTTATTTTAACAGACAAACACGGATACTGGGATCTACAAATAGTGCCCCAATATCTATGAGGATAAGATGAGCCCCCTACCCCCCACTGAACCATATGGCTCGCCTACCCCCATGCGGGAGTTTCAGGGGTGAAGTGATAACTCCTTGCCTCGGTCCTCACCCACATTCTTGATAAATATGGGAGCTCCACCTCCAGTCAAGTAAAACATTGCACTGCAATACGGCCGCTATTCAACTCAGGAGTCAACGATCCGTGGACTCTGTCCCTCCGCATGTGGGACTCACCGTGTGCACGCACCAGCGTTCACTCCGGGCTAGACACGGCCACGCTCTGGCCAGTCGCTATTCCAGTTGCCACGTGTTCTGTTTTTTCCCCAGGATTCTCCTCCCCTTGTTGAGGAGAGAGCTGCTGTCTTGGGAACTCTTGTCAGTTATTGCGGGACAAGCAAATATCCCAGTCTTTTGTCAGTTGTGTAATAAAAATAACCCATAATGCAGCACTCAAGACAATGCATCTAGATGTATGTCTTGCCCTTCTCCAGCACTGTGAAATATCCGCAACTCCGATGAGCACGGTTGACTACGTACGCTGAGACAGAAGTTCAACAGACGTACTAAAGTATTCTTCATTTCAGTTGCGAAACCCTAAATCTTGATTTGTAATAGATTTATAAAGCGCCGTATTCAAGGGTGCATTTCAACAATCATACAAATGTACGTAAGAGGAGGAGTGGTTGAACTAACGTGTGGGGTTATTATTCGAAGTGGTGGTGTGGTTATGGTGACGGGTGAACAAGTGGGAGTAGTTAAGGAGGGGAAGGGGTAGTGATATGGGTTTAGGTAGTGATAGGGGTAGCGATAGAGGTAGTGATAGGGGTAGTGATTGGGGTAGCGATAGGGGTAGTAGTAGGGGCAGTGATTGGGGTAGCAATAGGGGTAGTGGTAGGGGCAGTGATTGGGGTAGCGATAGGGGTAGTGGTAGGGGTAGTGATTGGGGTAGCGATAGGGGTAGTAGTAGGGGCAGTGATTGGGGTAGCGATAGGGGTAGTAGTAGGGGCAGTGATTGGGGTAGCAATAGGGGTAGTGGTAGGGGCAGTGAATGGGGTAGCGATAGGGGTAGTGGTAGAGGCAGTGATTGGGGTAGCGATAGGGGTAGTGGTAGGGGCAGTGATTGGGGTTGCGATAGGGGTAGTGGTAGGGTCAATGATTGGGGTAGCGATAGGGGTAGTGGTAGAGGCAGTGATTGGGGTAGCGATAGGGGTAGTGGTAGGGTCAATGATTGGGGTAGCGATAGGGGTAGTGGTAGGGGCAGTGATTGGGGTTGCGATAGGGGTAGTGGTAGGGTCAATGATTGGGGTAGCGATAGGGGTAGTGGTAGGGGTAGTGATTGGGGTAGCGATAGGGGTAGTAGTAGGGGCAGTGATTGGGGTAGCGATAGGGGTAGTAGTAGGGGCAGTGATTGGGGTAGGCCTAGCAGGGAGTAGCAGGAGGAATGCCTCACTAACACCGCATGGACTCGAGGTGTGGTCACGTGATCTCGCCCTGCACTTTGGCCACAGGAGCCAGTGGCCTTGATTGGGGGGCTGCCAACCCACGAGGGATTGAGGGACATGATTCACTACTTGAGAATGCATTCTTTAGCAGCTGAAGGACTGATTAGTGGTATTTATATTCATTCATTTTGCGGGTAAACTGCACTTTCCGACAACTTCCAATTCTTCTCCTGGGCTGGGAAGAAAGTAGCGATGGTGAGGGAAGCGATGTGTTGTGCGTTCGCACCGTCCGCAAAAATGATGGCCCGACATAAAATTCCGGCGAACAGACCTGGCAGTTTTGGGCCACAATCCTCGGTTGCTGTCAGAGCAACAAGACCCAACCCGTGGCATTTGCCGAAGATTTACAATGCGCAGAGTGACATCATTAGCGGGAGACTTTTTTACGTGTTCGAGGAAGAGAGAGTGCAAAAAAAGTGAAAGATAGAGGGGGAAAAAAATATTTTCCAATGGCACTGTGTTGCATGTCTCACAAGACTCATCAAACGCGGAGTGGACAGGAGCCAACACACGCACCTCGCGCTTCCGTACGCACCTTGCGCAACGGGAGTCAGGGTAAAGTTGCGGCTCTGCATTTGCCAGCTCACACCACTGCTCGTGGAAGAGTCTCCACTCTAGAAAGCTCAGGGGATCCCTCTCTCGAGGGTATTTGGCCTGCTCTTCCACGCCGGACGCAAATTTGTACCCCACCACGCGTGGAGCTGACTGATCGATTGACTGCGGTGTGCCCAATTACACCGCTGGGTTGACAGAGGCGTGCGCGGGGCGCTGGAGGGTAAGGCAAGAAACTTGCCCCCATTGTGTCAATTTTCCGTTGCCCGGAGATGTAGCCGCGACCTCCGCTTTGCAAGTGCAGCGTGCGAGCACGGCGCGGCAGCAGCGCCCACGAAACGCAGTGGCTGGGTGAATGCGTTTCCAACTGACAACAAAAATGTCATGCACCCGCGTGTGCACACACACATTGAAGTAGCCCACATTTGCACACAATGGCTACACAATTCCACGCGTTCAATTCTCACGCGTCCATCAATGCTGCTCTCCAGGACGACGCAGGCTCGCAATTGTTGTGACTTAAATGCTCATCTGGACTGGCCCGGACAGCCACTGGCCCCTAAGATTTTAGCATCACATGACAATACTTGGGGCTACTCTTCTCCACAATAGTCACGGCCACACTGTTCTCATGTTCAGACACACAAATACAACAGCGGGTGTTCGTGCGGTTGTGCCGCTCTACGGCTCTCCGGCGTGTTTTTCGGGTTGTGCCGCTGCGCGTCGAACAACGCGATGTCCGACGTTTCGCTTCTGAATCGAGGCAGCTCGCATCCTCCCTCGATTATATAGCCCACTGTTCTTCATTATATAGCCCACTGTTCTTCATTATATAGCCCACCGTTCTTCATTGCAAGGCCCGCGGGCCACTGGCACCCCCCCCCCCCCGACAATACACAAAGAGTGAAAACACCCCCTATCACCAGCATCGTGCAGCTGTCAAACGCAACAATGGTTTCAAATGTGTAGCGGCCCTCACACTGTGATGCCTTATTGGCGAAAGTGACCCCCCTGTGAATATTAGTGAAGAACACTGGGCTAGCCCCATCGCCATCGGGCCCAACAACAACACAGAAACAATCCGAAAACCCATCAGAGAGATACACAAGTAGGAGGTTTAAACCTTTTACATAATCTGGTAACCTGTGTGTGTGCTTGAACAGCTCCTATTAATAGGAATATTTTTATGGTCCATTTGATAGCTAGTTAATCTTCTACAGCATGGCCAGGTTTAAAATGATTGGAAACGTTATCTGAGTTAGGTGAACAATAGATTTTTGTTTGTATATCATGTGATATTGGTATGTGTAAAGTTGATTGAAGTAATTTTTTGGGAAAAACTTTTAAAAAACAATATCATTGTGGAATTATTTGACGATCAAACCGGAGTTTGTAATAAGATCCAAATCAGATATCTCCAATCCACACCAAAGAAGAGTACCATTTTAATGACCATTTGTGTAAGCTTAATTCCCCATAATTAAGCCAATACAAGAATTTGTTGTGTTTGTTTTATAATGAGTATTGCAAATATGAGAGACAACTATTTTTAATTGTCCTAATGAGGTTTTTTTTTTTAAACACTTGGCAATTACAGGCCCTTACACAGGCATCCCCAAAGGACCGGTAGACATTGTGAAAAAAAAACAAGACCGCGGGTTTTGATATTATGACTTTTGTTATTAGGGATTCCACTTTAATAGTATGTGTGATTTATACCAAACTAATGGGAGCCTATACATAGGCCGCACCTTTGAAAGTGTGACAACTTAATTTTCATTTTAATTAATTTCACGTTCATTAAAGGTGCTCTTTAATCAAACACCTTTTCAAATATCCCATTAGTGAGCCTCATTAGCAGTTGTGCAAGACAGGGTCCTTCCAAGGCTCCCGTGAAAATGGTATCCGTTAGGTGGCTTTACCTTCTGCCGGCATGATGCTGCTGCAGGTAGACAGGAGGAGGAGGCAGGTCCACAGCATGGCGGTTGAGGGCTTCTCAACCGTCCAGAGGCATCCGGCACGCGACCTCCTGGCCATGTGGACCTCCACGCTCTTCGCCCCAACGTCGGGGCCTCCAAATGTCGAGCGAAGCCGCATCAATCGCCGGACGGGCTTCCGGCGCGATCCCCCCCCCAAACGTCAAACGGAAAAGCAGTCTATAGCGTCGTCGCACGCTACTTGCTGGATTTTGACGGAGACATTTGGGCGTCTCTGCCGAGTTTTGTTGTCGTCGTCGATTGTGTTTTGGTTATTGCCCGCGATGGGAAGATACGAAACGTGAGCGATCACAAGCGGCGGTGCGTTTCCCTCCACGTCATTTCGCAATGTCGCCCGTCTTCGCTGGGACGCAACTGAGCCGCCGGGCACTCACTTAAGCCGGGGCCTGACCCGGCCGGATGAGCAGCTATCGAGTGAGTGAGCGAGCGAGCTCACCACAGCTGGGCAGGACCCGTCTCTACTGTGCGGTCACCACCAAGCAAACGTCAGTGCGGTGTCATTCAGGCGTTCCAAGTGTATTATGACTGTGATGTCACACACCGCTCGGGCATGGTTATGCCATGTGAAGCCTCCACGCGGCTCAATTCAAGTCATATGCTCAAGTCTTCTGTGATCCTTTCAAGGCCTTTCTCGCTACAATGAAGGTGACGCTCCATTTGATGCGATCGTCATATCTGAGCCTGGAACAACAACAGCAGCAACAACAACAAGAGAGGCTGTCAATGAACATGTTGGATTATCGGAATTAAATACAGTATTGTGCTGATGTAAATAGCACCTTAATTACATTGGAAAAATGCTATGTATGTGCTGTGTATCGCACACTACACGCATTGATTTAATACACATATTAAATTTTGCAATTAACATTTGCCATTTAATTGCAGTTATGGTACATTATCACATTTCTTAACTATAAAAACACCTTCAAAGGTATTTGCAAAATACACGTATTATTATGAAAGGTCACCTTAACATAACGTATGTATTTCTGTTTAAACATCGGATAGGGGAGTATGCTGTAAATGTGTTTGTATAATGCAGCGTCCTTTGTCACTCTAACGGTGGAGGAGGGCCTCCCTTACACCATGTCCATAACAAAGGGGGGGGGGGGGCTTGCTGCCTCTACGTTAACCTGTTTGTGAGCACCTATTAAGGCAGGCAGCCGGCATGGCACACAGCGGAGTGGTGTCGCGTGGTCAGCCGTACAAAACTGGCAACCTTTCGGTACTGATATAGGCACACTGCGCTTGCTACTAATTTTAGGCCGAGTTGACCTAGGGGAGGCCCAAGCCAGGTTTAGATACCAGCCGGCACTGGTGTGTATGACCAGGATTCAAGTCTGGGTGGCCGGGATTGTATTACCACGAGCATGCTCACCAACAAGTCACAGGCGTGACCGCACCGATACCGGCAAGTGGCCACAATATTATTTACTACAAAGTACTTGTACGTGTGTGTGTGTGTGTACGTGTGTGTGTATTATACGAGTGGATTTAATGGCAGCTAAAGGGTTAATTAAACAAGAGTATTTTTATGGTCTCTTAGCGATTTAGCAGTGTATGGTAACCTGGAAACCATCTAAATATAACACAATGGGAGATTTGCACCGTGTAGGTCCCTGCATTTCTTGTAGAACACGTGTGTGCGTGTGTGTATATTTAACACTACGAAACATGCCGAGCTAAAATAAACAGGATCTTGAGGATGCGCTGCCGAACTGCTCTCGCTTGCATTCATACAAAAACTGCCTTCTCCAATCTGCAGGCTTCCACATCTCATTAGCAGATCCCAATATTGGGCCAAGCTTTAGCAGATTCAATTATGCATAATGCTCTTGCACTGCCATTTTAAAATAAAATAAAAAAAATTAGCCCGTTGGAATAATTTAAATGTAAGTTGGCGTACAGACAGCCCTGCGTACAGTAATAACAAGCACCATCCTACATATGCATCGGGCCCGTGTCTTAGGGATTAGCACGCATTCGACAAAGATATACACACACACAAAACTGAATTTTAAATAATGGTGTAATAATATTCTGCTCACCTTAAATTTACGTTATTTGACAATAAGTCACACATTTGAATACTTAATACATCACGTCCACGATGATAAAAATGATACAGTTGGGGTAATTTACAACCTTTCAACGTGCAAGATGGGTGGCTGAATAATGCAAAACCCTAAAGTATCCCATATATTATTGGAAGAAATTAATGTGACACGGTTTCCAAGTCCAATCCCTTTATTTATGGGCAACTGTAAAGCCTGCCCCCTCCTCCACTCGTTGCTTCAACAACAACAACAACCACCACCAACAACAACACTCAGCCGTGGCGATGCAAAAACAAAATTAAGGAAAGCCAAGCCTGAATGTGTCAGCTCAGAGGGAGCAAAGCAATTGCTGTTGCGGTGAGGGCAAACAACCACATGATGTGGGGGTGGCAAATTGCAATTTTCTCCCTCCCCCCCCCATCCGTTTAATTGCTGTAAAATAACATATCACGCGTAATTAAAGGCAAGAAAGCCCGCGGATCTCTTAAGAGTGAAGAGCCAAACGTCGTAGCGCGCACAGACGCGCGTCGCTGGCCAAGCCGCACACGTGCGTACTACGATCCCTGAATACAGAGCGGGGTCTCGGGGAGGCACACACCCACACACGCGGTGATGCCGTCCCTGGCGAGCGGCCAGTGTTGACTCAAAGAGAGGACGCCATTGGAAGGAATCGACATATTGATCTGTGTGCTCAGGCCCTGAAAAGCAACAAGGAGACTCTTTTGAGTGCACACGTGTTCAACATTTCTGGACCCTAGCAGGAAACAGCTTAGGGAGCAGCAATGAGGCAATTACAGCATCCCTCCCCCAACCACTTCCATAATGGCTTCCACTCTCCTCAACAAAATGGCTTTCAAAGTTGCCGGACTCCTGAGACTCGGGCCCTATGTAAAATCATTGCGCTTATCGTGCGCGAACTCTTTCTGAACTTCTCTCAGCCCTCCAATTGCCATGCGCAGGAGGCCGAGAGGGCAGCCCGCTTTGTTTGCTGCTGTGGGTGACAGTGGCGTGGCTGAGTAGTGAAGTGTGCAGGCGGTGCGACTGCCCCCGGGCTACGGCGAGAGAGGGGGAGAAGGAGAGATTGGCCAGCGGGGAGACCCCCAGTTAATTTAAGTTGTGTTTGTTTGTCCAGATAATCATAATAACTCGGGGGGGGGGGGACCCAGCTGACTCTCATTTGCAAGTGACCTGGGTCACCAAAAACGACAAAATCCAAACAAGTAAAGTCACAGCGACGATGCAAACAGAAATTGGCGCAAAATCAACTGCGTCGCACAGGCAAATCATTCCTGAGACCAGGGCCCTGCCAACCGAGCCGTAACGTGAATGTTTAATCAAGTGCCGCCACGGGCACGCTCCAGTAATGTCACGCTCACACACGTGATTTGTAACTCTGACCATAACCTGCGTCGTAGCGATAGTTCAATGTTACCGTGCTATTTAATCGAGGGGCTACTGCTGTGTGCTGTCTTGGTGTGGTCTGGGACCGTTTTTGTTGTTTCTTACGCCTTGATAAATCGGACTTATATAATTAATTTATGTATTAATCATTTATATTTAGTGACTTGCTTACCATGTTCACTACTTTCCACTGCTATCGTGTTTGTAGTGTTCGCTGTTGTAACTTGCCGACCCGCCCAAACTGGACATCTGTGACAAAGAGCTTCATAGCTCATCGGATTCCTCCGGCAGTCTCAATAACGATTCTGATTCTGACGAGCAACAATCGCCAAAAGCCCCCTCGCTGTCCACGTAAACATGGAGAGGGCTAAATAAAAAGGGAAGGTCTCACAAATGCAAAAAAAAGAGCAGGTCAAGCCAGGTTAGGGCAAGCCATGGCATGTCGTCAAGGCAAAGTGGACAGAAAAAAAGTGTCAGATTTTGAGAGGTGAAAAAAAAAACAGTCCTGTGAAAACCACTCGGTTAAATTTCAAATATCTAGCGTCATCTTATTTGACACTTACTGCTCAACTCGTGTAGGTACTTAACGCAATTGGCATGCACGCTGCATACCAATAGCTGCACTCGATTGCAAGAGAGCTCGAGCCGAACGGAGTTCTCTTCTTGTTCAGAGTACGGCCAATAATCTACCCACCGTACCCAGAATCAGGACCGTCCTGGCTGAGCCGCATTTCTGCGTAGCTGCACTTGCAGCAGCAGCAGCAGTCTGGAACTCTCCACCCCAGCTGTACACTGGCAGCAGCATCAGAGGTTCGCAAACGGGTTTTGATTCCTTACCCGTACCCGTACCCAGCCACACCAGGGTCGCACCCTACCCGAAATGAGTGACAAACGGTTACTCACCAGTGACTCACGGCCTACCCATACCCGGCCGCACCAGGTTCGCAAACGGGTACCCGTACCCGTACCCGGCCAGGTACGGGTAGCCGGGTATCGGGTAGGGTACGGGTATCGGGTACCCGATTGCGACCTCTGAGCAGCATCCATGCATCACCATCCACCTTGAACCAGCAGCTCAAGGTCCTCATCAGCTCATGCCCCCACGAGTTCATGCCCTCGCCCGTCCAGGCCCTCGCCCCTTCAAATCGGAATTCAAGGGACTGTGCTCCGGCTCTGCGCTTCCAAGTTCTCAATCGAGAAAATGCGTTCGATTTGTGAAATATGCGCACGCTATAAATTGTGATTATAATTTTCACCGTCGCATTCAGAAAACAACCTCACGGCCACGTGCGTGTTTACGTCGCACAAAGAGAGGAACAAAGCACGAGAAGGATTTGTCTAATGGACATTATTCCAGCAGATGGTGGAGGGTTATGCAGGCGGATTGCATAGTGCCGATGATGCAAGCATTAATGAGGTGTTTTGACTATCGCAAGATGATACGTGATGAAATATGAATGAGTGATAATGTTGCCAAGAGTGTTGCTGATGAAGGTTCAATTAGCAGCACTATTTTTCAATTAAAGTCATTTTTATTACTACCTTAAACAGGTTACCGTACTGTATTGCACTGGATTTTTTATTTTTCTCAAAACCGATGCCATCGTAGTCACAGCAGAGACTCATTTTGATGAACAAGCATTGCCACAGGCTCGCTTGCAGCAGTTCGAGTCTTTGGAGAGAAACTCACAAAGAAACAAAACTCCACATTCAGCATGTTACAATATTCCACGATGATATTTTCAAATAATTTGAATTTTGTTTCGTCATCATTTACTGACAGATATTAACCTTCTCTTGTGCTATACGCGGTCATGCTGCGACTACATGAAGCATACACTATGGCTATGAATAATGTAATCGCTGATATAAAACATATTATAGCTTACGTAACACTTAGCAACATACTGTACTGTGCTTTAGGATCGAGTGGTGGCACATTGGTGACCCCAGTTTGATTCCAGGCCACTGTTAACATGAGTGGTGAGTGATAGCTAAACCAGTTCTAGATCCCTTGTCACCAATCTCGCATCAGCAGTGGATGGAAAGGTTATTTTTTCTTATTATTATGAGCGCAGGATTTTAATATACGGTATATGTGGTGTGGGCAAAAAGTTTGTACACTGCCATTTTAAAGACTGTTGTATTGACTAAACAATAATTGCATCTGTTCTATTGATTGACAATAATACTTTACAACTCATAACACTGTGTAACAAA